CCAGTCCGACCAACTCTCCCCCAGGTTGTCATTAACCCCAACTACGAGGTGGCAGAGTCTGACTACACCAACAACATCATGAAGTGCAGGACCCGCTACGACGGCCACCGCATCTGGATGTACAACTGCCACATAGGTGAGGCCCCTGGACAAGCCCCCCTCCCCCGGGGTCCCCCCCAGGGCCTGCCAGGCCCTCCACCCCCGCCCCCCGTGGGACAGGCAAGGGCGTCCCTGCTTTCTCAAGGAGTCAGAGCAGCTCCCTAATTTGGGGGCAGAGCTCGGGATGCCGCCAGCCTCCCCTTCCCACGCAGGGGACACACGAATGGCCTGGCTGCGGGTTGGGCTTTCACACCAGCCTGGCCGAGGGGGCGGCACAGAACCAGCGGCCAGCACGGACCCCACCGCTATTTGGGGGCGGGAGCTGAGGCCACACCTCATCGTGCATGTGACCTCAAACCTGTGGGCGGCAGCAGCCTGTGGCTCTGTGTATCGTTTTCTTGCCCGGAACTAGACACTAGTGAACCAATGTGGCCTTGGTCGCCAGAAAAGCTTTCCTTGCGTTACACAACCTGGGGCACGGGAGGGAGGCCGAGCCTTCTCCTCTGCAGCAAGTGGTGGTCCTCACTCGTGGTGAGGGCAGCCTGAGCCCACGGTGTTCATTCACCGCTTCGCTCCACTCCCAGAGCACCTGGTGCTGCCCGGTGGTGCACACAGAGGTGCCCGGCAGGCCCCCTGGTGGAGGGTGGTGGCTCCAGGCCCCAGGCCGGCGGCTGACTATTTCATCCAGGGCAAGGGCTGCGCGTCTGGTGTGCTAAACTGTCTCTCCGATGCCCACCCCTCAGGTGGTTCCTTCAGTGAAGAGACGGAAAAGAAGTTTGAACACTTCAGTGGACTCATAAACAACCAGCTCTCCCCGCGGTAAGGCAGCTGCGGGCCGCTCCCGCCTGCGGGCTCTAACCGATGGACGCCCCCCCCCCCTCGCCCGCCTGCCTGCCCGCCCGCCGTCCAGACCCTGCGGCCACGGCCACGCTCAGGAGGAAGGGGTGCCCCTGACTTGCTGGGGCTGCTGCAGAGCCTGGCGGCTCCCAGGAGTGAGTGTCCGCAGGCCGTGGGAGCAGCGCACCAGCCATCCTGTCCGGGACCCCCGGTTGTCATCAACGTGTCCCATCCAAACCACCGCCCCCCAAGCCTGACACCAACCACCCTGCTCTGCTGACCACTGATAACATGGGGCCAGTTCCTCCTCAGGTGCCACTTTGGCGATGCCAGCTTAAACCTGAGGGGTCAGGCTGACTCGCTTCTCCTCCTCTTAGGTCGTTTCCAGCCAACTTGAATGTGTAGAGCTCTCTTCCAGCTACTGCCTCTCCTCCCCTCCGTCCTACCCACGTATAAAATAAGCTGCCACACGTTTTCTGAGAGGTGAGCTCAGAGTTGGTGCTTCTCCCCGCACCCCCGCGTCCTATTTCCAAGACATTATTATATTATATTTTCATGGACTTTGAAACACAAAGTAGTGGTATTTAATATTGGCGATCTAGGCCTTTGAAAATATAGCTCAAAGGAAAACCCGCCCACCTGTGTGGCTCCCGTTTCTGTCCTTGCGAGGCGGCGGGTAACTGCTAACGGTGCTATAACCAGGGTCTCGGGTGACGAGGACACTCACGGAACACCATGTCATCACGGACACTTACACATACTTGAAACTTGGAATAAAACATTGACGACGTGCGTCTGTGTTTCATTTGGACCGCGGTCCGCCCCCTGAGCAGCAGAGCACCTGTGTAGTCGGCCGGGAGCCTTGTGCCCTCGGGTCCACTCCCGCAGAGAGCTGGGGTCTGGTGTGGCTGCAGGGGGTCCCCTCCAAACACCCCCAAAGGAGCAACACCTGCCCCTCGAGAGCTGCCCAAGGTCACAAAAACACAAGTCACCACCTCTGAGCTCTTGCTTTTTGCTGGTTTTTGTCAGGGGCACAGCAGCTGTTAGGCCCAGAAGGGACATCTAGCCTCCACACGGGCTCCGTCCAAACCAGAAAACAGTGCTCCGGGGCCTGTCCGTGCAGCTGCTCTTGTGGGGGAGGCAAACTCGGTGGCCACTTCAGAGTTCACCACGTGGCCTTGTGCGTGTTTATTTCTGCACGGAGCCTTTGTAGCTGTGCTGACAAAGACATTGGGGCCGGTCCAGGGTGGGCCATCAGCACTCCCATAGCCACAGCCACTCTGCACTCCCCAAAGCAGGTTAGGGCACCCAGCTCATGAGGGGAAACCACACAGGGGTCACACAACGGGTGCAACCTCCTCCCCAAGCCGGGCAGGTTCTGCACAAAAATGCCTCTGGGCCCAGCGGAATCCCTCCAGGCAGTCTTGTGAGAGACCAGTTTCTTCAGCGTCCCCAGGTCTAAAATGGGAGGCAAACAGCACCCTCTAGTGTCCCACGGCAGACTGTATTTTGAAGCAATCACGGAATTTTTGTTAATTCTCACCCTGAGGGTATTTTTTTCCACGGAGAGTGGAAGGGAGGAAGGGAAGGAGCGGGAAAGAGAGACACATCAATTGGTTGCCTCCCACATGCTCCCCGGCCAGGCCAGGGATGGAACCTGCAACCCAGGTAGGTTGCCCTTGACCAGGAATCAAACCCATGACCCTTCGGCATGCAGGCTGACGATCTAACCCAGCCGTGGGCAAACTACGGCCCGCTTGAAATGAATGAAACTATTGAAAAAAAAGACTGTGCCCTTTTATGTAATGATGTTTACTTCGAATTTATATTAGTTCACACAAACACTCCATCCATGCTTTTGTTCCGGCCCTCCGGTCCAGTTTAAGAACCCACTGTGGCCCTCGAGTCAAAAAGTTTGCCCACCCCTGATCTAACCATTGAGCAATACCAGCCAGGGCAGATTATGACAACTTTGTTTATTTTTTCTCAACTTCTGGAAGTAGACCAAATTGAAGCCCACCACGCCCCACAGTGACGCTCCAACGGGAGGACAGGGCTGCTCTGTAAAGGCTTGTGGTGTTGAGGTACCAGCTTGTCACAGGGTGTTGATCCAGGCTGGCCGGGCCTCTCAGGGCCTTGGGGAGGTAGGAGACTCAACAGCAGGCCGCTCTTTCTTGTTGTGTTGAAGCCCCAGGGCCCGGGCCACCAGCCTCCGGGCCACAGCTGTACTTGTCTGTGGTCTCTCCTTCGCCAGACGCAGGAGCTCTGAAAGGAAACCCCGTGGGGTGGGGACTTGAATTCAAGACCATGACCACCTCCCCTCCCAGTGACAGCAGCCTCAGAGGCCATCTGAGCCAACCTCTAGGACCAGTGTGCCCGCAGCCTGGCCAGATGCAGTGAGAGGAGCCCGCCTCGGGCTGCCGGGTCCTGACCTAATCCTGCCACCTCTCTGTGCCCTGCCTGTTTCTCCACCTCCACAGTACACCCCCCTGCTCTGTAGGGCCATGTGGGAGGGAAATCACGTCAAGGTGGGACACTGAGAGCTCTGGGACAGACAGGGTATTTATTGTCCCCAAAAACACGGGGCAAAGGCCACACGATCCAGAGTGTTGAGGGAGTCGGCAGGCCTCTACAAGTCCCCATCATGCTTTCTGGAAGGAGAAGGGGCCGGGGAGGAGCCATCACTTATTTGGCACCTTTTGTGTGCCTCGCCTCTCCTCTCCCGGTGGGTTTGCCAGGCTCTTGTATCTACGCCGCCAGCATACTGTGTATGGTCTGCTTATTGTACAGAGAAAGAAACCAACTCACAGACATTAGGTGGCTCAGTCAAGGTCAACTTAAATAAGTGACAAAGCCAGGATCACACGCAGGGCGGACTTTCACCCACTGCTCAACACCGTTCCCACGGACTTGTGGAAAAGACCCAGCTTCTCCCTGAGCAGGTGTGAGCGGGAGGGCAAGCCCCGAACAGGGCAGCTGGCAGACGCCTGCTGGGCGTCCCCGACACCCGGGTGTGGGAGGAGCACCCCACTGGCCATTGAGCTCAGGGGTCCTCAAGCAGAGAGCTGAACAAGGGGGGCTGACCGACGCACACGGCCTGCCCCGCGGGACAGCCGCTCCCTTACTTGGCCTCTGCAAGGCTTTCAGCTTCGACTGCTTGCTTCCCTGCGTGAGGGGCCGGATCTTGAGCCCTGAGAACTCCCTGGTCAGGGCTTCAGCAGCTGTGGAAAGAAAACATCTGGAGCCATCCTCTCCTCTTCCTGGAAAGGCCCCCTCAGGGCCCAGGAGCACACATAGCACCCAAAACCAATGCAGCCACTTCATGCGCCCATTCAAAGCCCAGGGACAGGGCTGCCTGGAGGCCACTGTGCCAGCTGCCCACCCACCCCCTCCCCACATGCCTGCATGGCCCCGCCCGGTGCTCAGAGGGAAAACCTGTGAGCCCAGCCTCCACCCTCCGCCCTGCGCTGCTTTAGACCTAGAAAAACAGCACTTTCAACACGTGGAAGCACCTAGGGCTTGGCCTGTGACATGTGCTCAGTGTCACCTGCACCCAGAGCCTCTGGACGGAGGGCACTAACGTGAATAGGAAAGGCTGTGACTGCCGGGCCGAGCCCACCTGCTCCCTGGGCTCCTGCATCAGGGCTGGGAGTGGGCTGCAACCTGGACCCGGGCGGTCTACACCAGGGAGCCAGGGCCCCTCCCTTTCAGTGACAGAGAAAGGGCCGAGCCCACGTGAAGCCGCCTACCTGAGGCCAGGCAGGGAAAGACGCCGAGCGCATGCGTGTCGTCCACCCACTGAATCTTCAACTCCTTCTCTCTGAGACGGGGAAGAGGAGGCAGAGAGACTATGAAAGCAAACGGGCACAACCCTTTCTGCTACAGGAAGTTCCCTCCCACCTCCGATCCACAAACACTATGAGCCCAAGACAAGTTCCATCTCCTCGGGGAAGGAGACACTCATGCACAACAGACCTTCTCTGAAGACCATGTGGTTGGCTTCAGCAAGACCAACCACCCGCTGGTCGGGTGGGTCCCTACTCCTGGGTCTGGCGAAGCCAGGACTGAGAGAGCTCAAAGTCGCAACACCCAGGGGGATGGAGGCTCCTACTGGCGCTGGCACAGCCCCCAAGGGCGTGGGGTCAGAGGCTGGAGACAAAAGGGTTGTGTGGCAGGGACACGGGACAGCGCCTAAAATCCGCATGTGTGTGTTACTGCTCCCCGTCAACTTTCCTCCCAGTGCTCAGGCCAGCAGCCCGAGTCTGAGGCCACACAGCAGCTCCCGCCCTGCTCCTCTGCGGGCCAAGGCTACGCTGGCTGAAGAAGTCACAGGTGCCCTGGGTTGGCCACGTGGAAAAAGGGATTTTTATTTATTCATTTACTTATTTTTGTTAATTCTCACCTGAGAATATTTTTTCCATTGATTTTATTTCCTTTTGTTAATCCTCACCCGAGGACATTTTTCCACTGATTTTTAAGGAGAGTATAAGAGGGAAAGACAGAGAGAAACATCGATGTGAGAGAAACACATCGATTGGTTGCCTCCAGGCCGGGGAGGAGCCTACAATCAAGGTTTGTGCTCTTAACAGGAATTGAACCTGGGAACCTTTGGTCCGCAGGCTGACGCTCTATCCACTGAGCCAAACCTGCTCTATCCATTGAGCAAAACCGACTAGGGCTCCATTGACTTTTAGAGAGTGGAAGGGAAAGGAAGAGACAGAGAGAGAATCACATCGATTGGTTGCCTCCCGCACGCGCTCTGAACAGGGCTGGGGATGGAGCCTGCAACCAAGGTACATGCCCTTCAACAGAATCGAATCCAGGACCCTTTAGTTTGGGGGCCTATGCTCTATCCCAGGGGTCCTCAAACTACGGCCCGCGGGCCACATGCAAATACAAATATTGTATTTGTTCCCATTTTGTTTTTTTACTTCAAAATAAGGTATGTGCAGTGTGCATAGGAATTTGTTCATAGTTTTTTTTAAGCTATAGTCCGGCCCTCCAACGGTCCGAGGGACAGTAAACTGGCCCCCTATTTAAAAAGTTTGAGGACCCCGGCTCTATCCACTGAGCCATATCAGTTAGGGCAGGAAAGGGATTTTTAAAAGCATACGTAGGAAAAGAGAAGGGGGACTGGAGAAAGGAAAATGATAATTAAAAAAAAGAAGAAGAAGAAGAAGAAGAAGAGAAGACTGGAGTTGAAGTTAAGGAATTTGGGGGAAAAGGAGAAGTTTTTTCTCTGGGTATATCCCTTCAGCTCCCATTTCCACCCAATTCTTCCCCAGACTCAGTTCCTGCACAGAGATGGCCCTCATTCTGTTGACGGACTGAATGGGTAGCTGAGATGTGGAACAAGGAGGTGGGGGGTGGGCTGCCTGCATCCTGCATCGGGAGGAGGGCGCCACTGGGGCTGGCAGGTATGTGGGCCTGCAAGGGTGCTGCATGTGCCAGTAGGACCAGCTCTAGGGCCTCTGGAACACGCCTACAACCAAAAACCGCTCTCCTCTTTCCCCACACGGCCAGTGGGCTGAACTGCCCAGAAGTATGGAGCCCACAGCACTGGCATCTACTTTCTGCCTTTCTTTCTAGATGGCTGGGCACTGGGAGAGGGGCCCAACAACAAAGGCGTGTCCTAGGTCCTCTCTAGAGGGAGCGCCCCGTCTCCTCTGCCTCCCCGAAGCCTGGCCTGTACTCACTGGAACTCGGAAAATGCTGCCAGCAGGTCCTCCGTCTTGAGTGTCGAGTCAAAGTCGTAGATCTCCACCACGTGGGCAAAGTCCTGCTCTCCCGGC